TTCTCATACCAGAATATGTTCACTGAACTATGACTTAGATACACGTATAAGGCTTGTTGTTTACAGTGCACTCCAATGTTCAAACAATGTGATGGCAGCAAGAAAATAATTAAGTCTGGACCAGACAAACCGCTGATTGATATTGTGAGCAATCATCAGTTATGAGTGAGTGAGTGAGTATGGTTTAACGCCGCTTTTTGCAATATTCCAGCAATATCACGGCGGGGGACACCAGAAATGGGTTTCACACATTGTACCCATGTCGGGAATCGAACCTGGGTCTTCGGCGTGACGAGCGAACGCTTTAACCACTAGGCTACCCGACCTCCCCTTCATCAGTTATGAAGCCGGGCATGGTGACATACAATCAATCAAGTCAACCGAATCTATTTGGTCACCTCTTAAAGGGCAAGTTCACTTAAAGGGTCCGGGAAGTGTACACGCAAAAACCACTTTCTTTCTTATTTGAAACAAAATGCAATTTTAGAATTAGTTAATATAAGTGTTTGAAAATATACAATCTATATTTCTCACAGTGAAAGTAGGAAACCCGCAATAAGTGTGAAAATATTAGGCCGTTATGAGGCCTTCGTTTTCCGAGCCAAACAGGCTTGAGTTATCCCCCTTAGATTATGACATAACAGGCTCCTCACAGCGAGAGCCCTTTCGCGGAGCTCTCTTTACTATTACGCAAAAGATATCAAGTACCCGTTTACGATAAACAACATGGCCTGCGAGTCCGACTTATCGTCTGATTGCGAAGAATTGTCATTAGACCAGCAAGAACTTGTAAAGCCATATGCTTTTGAACCTACACAGCCAATTTCCCGAAATTCAAAGTCAAGACAAGGTATGGTGATGAAGAGGAAACAAGTGAAGACCTTTTGTTCGTGTCGTCAAGCTCCGACCCATCAACGCAACAACCGACACGGCCACTGTGGTAAGAATAAACTAGGCCTAAATGTCTCATAACAGCACATTGTACTACATTTCCAGAAGCGAAACGTATTCTTACAGATATTTGCCATCCCTGGTAACCCACACTGTTCTTTAGCTATTTAGCATGTCCCGTCCTGTTACGATTCTGTGGCAATGTCGTACAATCTGAGCTTACTAAAGATGTTTTACTTTCCTCACCACCAAGGCTACTTCCCAGGCAACATAGCAATATTAATAAACAAAAAGATATATCGCCAACCGTTGCTCTTCTTTGCGTAACACGATTAAGGTGTACGTCCCGCAGACTGCCGAGTTAACACTTTACCGATTGGAAACTGACAAGAACCGCAGGTTAACATCTCCAGATCTATTATCTCGAGGCCTATATATTTTAGATCCAATTTCATATTCAAAACAACTGTCATATTCCAACGGAGTGGCGGTCGGGTAGCCTAGTGGTTAAAGCGTTCGCTCGTCACGCCGAAGATCCGGGTTCGATTCCCGACATGGGTACAATGTGTGAAGCCCATTTCTGGTGTCCTCCGCCGTAATATTGCTGGAATATTGCTAAAAGCGGCGTAAAACCATACTCACTCACTCACTGTTCTAAGGCTGTCCACTCTGCGCCCGTTATAAGCGACTTGCACCTTTTGAAAAGTAGGCCCAGGTGCGTCCCAATTAAAAGCTGTTCAGTACTTCAGAAGAAAATACTTCTTCACTTCTTCTCCAGTATTGATATTTCGCAAGTTAAATGGAAGCACGAAAAGTAAGTTTTGGGTTGCAGTTACCAGGACCTTCTGATGAGTGGTACCCTGACCAGGCAGAGGCTGAACACAGCTCTCAAAGACACGTGCTGCAACATGCTGCATCTTATGGATCTCATGCTGACAATACCTGCAACTTCTGTTGAAGCCGAAATGGGGTTCAGCCTTTTGAAAAAGATTAAATTTGACAGATACGCACTTGTCAGATCTGGTTGCCATGGAATCTCCATCAGTGGAAGCACTTGATCCAACTGATTCAATCAATCATTGGAACAATTCTTCCACTAGATCCAGAAGACCAGTCTTCATGGAGAACCAGGGTACTAGCAGGAGATCTGTTTCTGAGCAGATGATGATGACAACAAAAAATTGCAATGCTCAAGCTGTGGCGGAGTCTCTCCAGGAAATGCAGCAGATGGAGTCTAGAGCATTTCGCATGCTCCAAGCAAAAAACATACTGATGCTCTTGGTGGTGGTGATCTATAATTTTTTTGTATCCTTTGTTTGTTTGTTGTTTAACGCCGCACTCAGCAATATTCCAGCTATATGACGGCGGTCTGTAAATAATCGAGTCTGGACCAGACAATCCAGTGATTAATATCATGCGCATCGATCCACGCAATATTGGTATCGATGCGCATCAGGATATATACAGGAAGCCAGAACGCAGATGCACATTCTGCAAAATTGCTCAAACACAATTGTCAAGACACATTTCCCAACAGCATCGGGACATTCCTGAAGTTTCAGAGGCTATGAAATTTCCTCAAAACTCAAAAGTAAGAAATACAATATTTGAGAATTTTCGAAAGCGTGGGATTTATGAATTTAACAAAAAGCAGAAGATAAATCAGAATTTGAAGCTGAGAGTAAAGGACAGAAAGATCTTGTATGCTGCTCCTCGTGTAAGGGATTCTATAGTCGGCGTCTCTACCATAGACATAAGGACACATGCATGAAGGAATGCACATTTGCCCAAAGTTCTATGCCAGTAGAAGTACTGCATTTGGAGGAGAGTACACCAGAGGAGCAAGATATATTTTCTAAAGAAGCACCACTTCATTTTCATTCCGATGAAGTCGGCAAAACATGCCAAACTGAGCCTACAATATACATTTGCCATAGGCAGAATTCTCTTTAAAAAAAAATTAAGAAAAATTTAAAAGACGTTGGAAACTAGAAAATCGGTGATGGATGACTTTATCGAGATTACTCATCGCATTCCGAGGCAAGTCACATAATGCCATGACAGCGGAGGACATGTTTCGTCCTCGAAACTTTAACATTTTGGAGCCAGCAGTTGAGGAGGTGACTGCACCACGGAAGGGAGGCTCAAGTATGGCTTAGAAAATTCCTTGTTTTATCTCCTGTGACAATCAGCCAATCTTCTCATGCTGCGTGCATTTGGAGAAGAAGAAGATGTCGAATCAAGCGAAATAGAAAAAAAATATATTTGCTAGATTTCAATCAAAACATTTGATTTGGAGTTGCAGCCTATTCGATCAATAAAAGCAGACAGGAAAAACTTAGAATGCCAGATCAACAAGCAAGAGAAGAGGGTTCATACTAGAATTGAGAGATTGATGTCAGAGTATGAATTTATTTGGCGCAATGAATATGTCACACTCTGATCATGAGATGCTGTGTGCTGCAGGATTACTCTGTTTAATGCACGATAGGGTGGTGAGCCATCACGACTAAAAGTTACAAATTTAGATGATGCAGTTGCCTGGAGATGGGTCGATGACTCTATAGCGGAACAGTTCAATAGCAGGGAGAAAAAAGCTCTTGAGTGAAATGATGGTTGCATACCAAGCTGGAAAAGGGAACCATTTAGTTCCAGTCCTGATCCCAAGAGACTGTGTCGGTGCCTTGTCCATTCTTACAGACTAAGACAAGAGGAAGAAAGTTGGGAAATCTTGATCAATATCCTTGTTTTTCCAAACACACAGCAGTCAGCATATCATGTGCCAGGTTGGGATGCTATTAGGAGTATGTGTCATGCAGCTGGTGTGAAGCTTCAAGAGTTGTTGACAGCATCAAAACAAAGACACAGAATAAGTACAATATATGCTTCACTTGAGGTTCCTTCCTAGCTACCATTGCGAGAGAATATTTCTATAAACATAGGGGTCACAGCAAGGGTGTCAACCAGTATCCTCAACCAATTCAAAAAGTTACTAAAGTTGGGAAAACCTACTTCACATTCAAGTGAGTGAGTATGGTTTAACGCCGCTTTTAGCAATATCACGGCGCGGGATTCCAGAAATGGGGCTCACATTCAAGGTGAGTCATTGACTTTGAAGACGTTTTGTAGTCAGCAGGCTAGTGTTTGTCATCACGTAGTAGCCGGACAACATATAACTTGTTTGAGGTTGGTTGATTCATTGTTTAACGCCGCACTCAGCAATATTCCAACTATATGACGGCTAAATAACCAAGTCTGGACCAGACAATCCAGTGATTGACATTATCAGCATCGATGACATACATCAGCCAAGTCAGCGAGCCTGACCATCCAATCCCGTTAGTCGCCTTTTACGGCAATGCAGCATGGGTTGCTGACGATGTGTTCTACCTCGGATGTTCACGGGTCCTGCATCAATGTTTTCAAGCACAAGTAATATTTGTTTTGTTTGTTTTTATGTTTAACGCCGCATTCAGCAATATTCCAGCTATATGACGACGGTCTGTATGTAAATAATCGAGTCTGGACCAGACAACCCAGTGCTTAATATCATGAGCATCGATCCACGCAATTGGGATCGCTGACATGCATCAAACCAATTCAGCGAGCCTGACCACCCGATCCCGTTAGTCGCCTTTTATATAATTTTCATTATTTTAGCAAATAAATTAAATCAAAGATACAACAGTGCTATAAAGCTGCCTTCGAAATAAAATGAGATCCGGGGTGGAATAGGTCTTAAGCAACCCATGCTTGCCGTGAAACGCGACTATGCTTGTCGTAAAAGGCGACTAACGGCATCAGGTGGCCAGGCTCGCTGACTTGGTTGATGCATGTCATCGATCCCACATTGCGAGGATCGCTGCTCATGATATCAATCACAGGATTGTCTGGTCCAGACCCGATTACCTACAGCCGCCGTCATATAGCTGGAATATTGCTGAGCGCGGCGTTCAACAAAAAAAAAAACCCAACCAATTGAAATAAAATGAATATTCCATGTCCGCTGAGGTCACCACGTACAATCTACTAATAAACCTACTTACAAAGTGAATGTACTCCGATCGAGCTGATAAGATAAGAATATCTACACGAAACAGCTGTTATTGGTCTTTGGCAACATTAAAACGTTCAGTGAATCATACTGAGCTGCCACCATGATCGTCAGGGAGATTTGTGTCTACATTTGCTGCCTAGTCGGGCTTGTGCCGTGCATTGCGCAGCCAAGTAAGTCGGACTTATTGATGGCAGCACAATTTTTACAGTATGAAGTCCGCGATCTGCAAATCCCCAAAACCAAACATGCGTTTCCACCGTTTCGATGGGATGAAGAGCAGGGCATGTGGCCAAGTGACGTCAAGATGAATTTCCATGGCAACCCGGATTATGCTCTCTTTAGACAAATATTCGGCATCTTTGATAACAATATGTTTGCGACAACATACATAATGGCGTGTGTTGCTGAGACGAAACGATACATGGACGATCGATGGCATAACGACACGTCTTATGGGTTAATGAATGGCATCAACGCCATCAAACGTCATCATGATCTAAATGTGAATTATTCCAATTCCTTAATGACATTCTGGCCTCAAACGTATAACGACGAATCCAAGGTTTATAACAGCTACCCCGTAAATCTCAATGACGCGATCAAGCTGACTGAGCATTTACCTCTGAATGCAACCTATGCTTTTCTTGAAAGACTTGGACTCAAGGATGTGGACAAAATCGTCCAAGAGGTCATGCGGATAAGGTACACGTTATTATAGACTAATGGGTTTCAGAGACTTCACTTATGTGCGCGATGTACATTTGGTTGTAGAAGATACATGATTTTCATTATTACAGGGGCCACGGGTGGCCCAGTCGTCTAAGGCGCCGCGATTCGCTGTGCAGAGTTGCGTCCCTTGGGCACGCCAGAAACCTATGATTGTGGGTTCGAATCCCGGCTCGCCCCGATTATGTTTTTAGGTTTGTCAGCACCATACCCGTGCTCGTGGGTTTCACCGAACTGGTAAACGTCTGAGACCTGCATCACTTCGGGCTTGCCTCCCACATTAAGCTGACACGCCGTGATATTACTGGAATACTGTTAAAAGCAGCGTTAAACCCAACTCACTAACTTCATTTTACAAGTCCATGTTAAAATGTCGTCCAGAATGGAATACGTTATTTCCTACGATATCTTCTTCCATTAGTTGAGGTTTAATCAGGACAAACATAAACCATGGTTCAATCATTGCTTTTCAGTAGGTCCTCAATCTGAATTCCTGAAAACTCTAAACTTATCTATGTACAAAGCAGTGTAATTTTACGTTCTTTCTGTGGTAATTTATTTGACGAGACCCAAGTATTCAAATTAAACCTAAAATTTCCCGGATGTCTCCAATTCCATTTCCCCACGAAGTGAGTGAGTATGGTTTTACGCCGCTTTTAGCAATATTCCAGCAATATCACGGCGGACGACACCAGAAATGGGCTTCACCCATTGTACCCATGTCGGGAATCGAAACCGGGTCTTCGGCGTGACGAGCGAACGCTTTAACCACTAGGCTCTCCGACCGCCCCTCCCACGTTTTCGTCACAACGAGGTTCGATTGTATTTGGAACTGAATAAAGTTTTACGATCTCATTATCAAACATACCCAATGATAACCAAATCTCGATTCCAAGTTCCGAACATGAATATACTGTGAAATAAGATATGTGTGTAAAGAAAAGTTTGTTCTGATGACTCCGTGAAGATTCCGGGATAGAATAGCATGCTTGTCGTTAAAGGCGACTAACGGGATCGGGTGGTCAGGCTCGCTGACTTGGTTGATGCATGTCATTGATCCCAATTGCGTGGATCGATGCTCATGAAATCAATCACTGGATTGTCTGGTCCAGACTCGATTATTTACAGACCGCCAACATATAGCTGGAATATTGCTGAGTGCGGCGTTAAACTACAAACCAACCAACCAATCTGATGAATCATTTGCTAGAGGTGTCTACACACTGGCGTTCCACATCCCTCCGGACTTCGATGACACATTTCTCAACATTGGTCTGGGTTCCATCCTTGCCGAAATGGCCAAAGAGTTTCCCCGGGCGTTCAAACTTTGGTCGTCCCACAACACCAACCTTACGTCCGTGTTCGATGCTCTCAAGTACTACGCTTACAGGTGAGACACTGTTAATGTATTTACCGTTATATGACATGCCCGACGTTTCGACAGTTATTGTAAATTCTATGACATGCATCGCTACGTAAAAGAATACAGGCATTATCAAACATTGTATCCACGATACATCCAATTTATATGTATTCTTGTACCTTAAACGTATCTGACGAAATGATCGCGAATATACCCATCATAGAATAGGTCTTCAGCAACCCATGCTTGCCGTAAAAGGCGACTAACGGGGTCGGGTGGTCAGGCTCGCTGACTTGGTTGATGCATGTCATCGATCCCAATTGCGTGGATCGATGTTCATGATGTAAATCACAGGATTGTCTGGTCCAGATTCGATTATTTACAGACCGCCGTCATATAGCTGGAATGTTGCTGAGTGCGGCGTAAAACAACAAACCAAACCAAAACCCTTCATACCAAAACGCTTACCTATCCATTCTTCACAAAGGAAATTTGTTTTGCCGTGATGGGCACAGTTCAATGCTGATTTTAGTCATATTCCTGAAAAATAACAGCGAGAACAGCAAGAAATATAAACAATATATAATTTATCGATGTTGGTATACTAATATTTCCGCGCACTGGCGAACATTGTGAGCGTTTTATTCACTTGGCAATTGCACTGACCCCGCGGTGTGTACCGTCTACTGCAACAATGGACAGACACCTTGAAGTGTGGAAATACCTTTCTAAGGTCCGTTTGGAGGTCGTTTTTCTATCTTTACGTTGATGGGGGTGGTCGTCTTGCTGTAATTTGTGATTCAAGAAATATGTAAAAATATGTCTTAACTTAATCCCTATTTGCTTTGCCCCAAGACCGTTCTCCGGGGACCAACGTGTGAACACCATCGACACCAGGAGCTACTACTACCTTAGGCCGTGGTTGGAGCAGGAGAAGGCAGCCGGGCGTGATGTCGCTCTTGTGCCAACGTGGGTGAGTATGTACCCATGAGTTCTCTCGCTACAGAACGGTTGTCATTTTGTGAATTATTACGTTGCCGAAGTGACTCTTCCTTTTCGCAATGTGTGAAGCCCATTTCTGGTGTCCTCGTCGTGATATTGCTGGAATGTTGCTTAAAGCGGCGTAAAACCATATTCACTAACTCGCTCATCCTATTCGGTCGATTTTTATAGTTTACATATTACAATGTAATCACTTCATTGTTGAAATTGGTGAAATTCAGGTACAGACAATAATAGACTGACACCTGTTTTTGAATTCAGTTGTTAACCCAATTTCAATTCCTATGTTTCACGTCATAGTTTTTTTTATTAATGCACACCTTGAATATCCGGGTTAGAATTGGTCTTCAGCTTGTTGTGAGAGGCGAATAACGGGATCGGGTTGTCAGCGTGGCTGACGTGGTTGATGCACGATGTCATCGTATCCCAAATGCGTAGATCAATGCTCATGTCAATCATTGTCAGTCAGTGGATTGTCTGGCCCCAGACTCGATTATTTACAGATTGCTTTAGTATTGCTGTGTGCGGCGTTAAACAACAAAGAACCCATCATTGACATGACAGTTGAAAGTAAGAAACGACAAGCAGTAACACTGCAACATATTTATTTTTACAGGACTGTGTGATTACGTTAAGTAAGTTCCATACATAGATGCAATGTTTGTTTCTGCAAAGACCAATGACAAACGCTCCTCGTGCATTTAGGGTTCCCCGGCGTGCTGGTGTTGCTTTTGACAACCACTGGTACTATATGATAACTTAGACGGTCCTTTTTGTATTGTGTCAATATTCGTTTTATAAAAAGCATCAGTGTTCTAATAGAAAGGATGTCTTATGATTATGATTTACAAATGACATTATAGCGTGACGGGATTACCTTTGATGTTCGACCCGTGAAGATTCCGGGTTGGAATAGGTCTTCAGCAACCCATACTTGCCGCAGAAGGCGACTATGCTTGTCGTAAAGGGCGACTAACAGGATCGGGTGATCAGGCTCGCTGACTTGGTTGATACATGACATCGATCCCAATTGCGTGGATCGATGTTCACGATGTCAATCACTTGATTGTCTAGTCCAGACTTGATTAGTTTACAGACCGCCGTCATATAGCTGGAATATTGCTGAGTGCGACGTTAAACAACAAACAAACAAACAAACCTTTGATGTACAAACATGTGATCCCGTCACGCTATAATGTCATTTGTAAATCATAATGTTAAAGACATCATTTCGATCACTGGATTACCTTTGATGTTCAAATATGTTAGACCCGTTAAGATTCCGGGATAGAATAGGTCTTCAGCAACCCATACTTGCCGTAAAAGGTGACTATGCTTGTCGTAAAAGGCGACTAACGGGATCGGGTGGTCAGGCTCGCTGACTTGGTTGATGCATGTCATCGATCCCAATTGCGTGGATAGATGATCATGATATTAATCACTGGATTGTCTGGTCCAGACTCGATTATTTACAGACCGCCGTCATATAGCTGGAATATTGCAGAGTGCGGCGTTAAACAAGAAACAAACAAACCAACCAACCAAATCAAATATGTGACGATTTTGTTTCCTCACATAACATGCTACACATTACCTACGTTATGAATGTTCAGATCCAGGACACGGATGAAGTACGCACGTGGTATGACAAGGGCGTCATGATGCCTTTTAACATCAACAACGTTGACGTCACTGTGTGTGCCAACTTCATCTACGCCTTGACATCAGGCATCATCACTGGCGTCCTTCAGCCATCGTTATTGGATGATCCTGAAGTTATGGTAATGGGTTTTGAATGTTCATAAAGATATGTTTTTTTATAAATATGAAATACGTTTTTCATTTGATAAAATGAAGGGGATTAGGAAACACTAGTGGTTAAAGGGTTCACTCCTCACTCTGAAGACCTTGGTTCGAATCCCCCCATAAGTACAATGTGTGAAACCTATTTCGGGTGACCCCTGCCGTGATATTGCTGAAAGCGGCGTAAAACTATACTCACTCACTACTTGATATTAGGATCTATACCGAAACGCCGCCTTTACAGTAATTAAAGAAGTTGAAATCCATAAATTGTGTCCACCCCAATCCCCAACTTCATATGACCGGGGTCTAGTGGCAGAGCGTCCGCCCGTAGCGCGGAAGGTCCGGGGTTCGATCCCCGGCCGCGTCATACCAAAAGACGTTAAAAGGTGGTACTTGTTGTTACCCTGTCTGGCGCTCGGCATTAAGGAGCTAAAACTTGGACTGGTCGGCTCGGGGTCAGTATACTGTTTCTGAGTGAGGTTTTCATGTTAAACTGCGGCATGGTATCTTAGTGAGCTAGCACTATAAATTGGCATCAGTCCGGACTAGTACCAGCAGCCACACACACACACGTGCATGCACGTCGCTATATAAGTGCAATAATCTTGGACGCAACGTTAAACCCCATTTCACCTCACCTCACCCATCTTTATATGGCTATATATGTTGTTATTTTTTTTAATATCGCAGCACAGAAAGCATTAAAAGACACGTGTCGCCTGGCTCTTTACCTATATGATCTTTGAACGTTGTGACATCATTGGCACCATCTTCCTTAATTGCCAGACAATGTCATGCACAACCTTAGATGTACATGTGTACGTGACGAGTGTCATCAGTAGGGCAGGATACGCTCACCATTGGGCGAACGCCTGGTATCATCACTATGTGATAGCGCTTCTTAGACGCATACGTATGTAGAATTGGTCTTCAGCAACCCATGCTTGCCGTAAGAGGCGACTAACGGGATCGATGCTCATGTTGTCAATCACTGGATTGTCTAGTCCAGACTCTATTTATTTACAGACCGCCGTCATGTAGCTGAAATATCGCTGAGTGCGGCGTTAAACAACACACAAACAAACAAATATGATATGGTCGGAATCGTACAATGGAGGTACAATAAAGGTTTCTTATGAGCACAGAAAGGGTTTCGTCGCTATTATTTAAGTATTCATGACGTCTGGGTGATATTTCGTAACGTGACATTAACATAACAGAGGAGTATACCAGATCTGAAATCGTTAACATCTGTCAATCATGCACACTTGCGGTAATGACAGGTTTGTTTTTGTTCTGTTTAAAAGAAACTATATTTCTTGCTGAGAGAATATTTAAATAGTTCCTAAAATAGCCCCATTAATACCACTAGTGTTTGAAGTTATTAGATTAATGAAACGGAAACGTGTATGTATTTTGTTCAGACAAAGACTCCTTGCATTACAGCACATCTACAACGACACAGCCAGGATGATCGCTTTCCAAGTGTCGACAAACTTCTCCGACCGAGCAGACCTGGCGTTGACGTACTACCCCTCTGTCATAGAGTTCTACTGGTTCGTGGCCAGGACGTACAACAAACTACAGGAAACTCTGGACAGGACGGGATCGCTGCCACATAAGGTGATGCATCAACGTCTCATGGACTTTGCTTTAGTCATTCACACTCACAAACCCCCACATGCCAGTGCCCAATAAGTATAAGAGTACTTCATGTTATATATCCCCTGGGATAGGACGAACCCATGAAGAATGTTATGAGCTAAGACAACAAGACCGCTTGTTCAGTGACATGCATCAGATATAGTAAAAGCTGTACTAATGACTAAAACAAGGCTTGGTCTTCAACCGAAGATCAGAAGATGTTGAGGATTTTTAATATGGAAAGGGTTTTGTCTCTTCAATATGTATTCACACATAGTTGTCTGGTTCAGACATGACCGCATTTGTATTCTTTTCTACAGATGCAGATGCCGTTGTACTGATATCGTGTCGAACATTTGGAAGTGGATGCTGCGAAGACCAATCGACACATGCACTTGTTCAAGTAATCGGTGTTTCAATTTTTAGGGTATGGACCAGATTCTAGCGGACTTCAAGGACGTGTTAAGGACATACGCTAGTCCCCGGATCCTAGACCTGGGAACCCCGTCCTCTATGTATAACTTCTCGACCTTATACTACGACGACTTCCTCGGCGATGCTGACATAGACTACAGCAACAAATCAGCTGTAAGTTTCAGGCCAAAACGTATGATTAACTGTTTCGATCAGCAGCGTTATGACTCTCAAGTCATTTACTTAACATAAATGCGGTAAACAACAAACAAACAAACAAACTATACTTAATAAGTGAGATCAGCTAATTAACACACTAACAACAGGTAGTCAATGAGTCGAATATTAACATTGAGTTATCATCGTAGCACTGGTTCCACTTTGGGGAACATTCCCCCGGTGTCTCCACTCGTTGGTACATGTACTTGATTAATCTTCAGAGTACTATGTACTGTTTTCATCAATGATATTAAACATTCTTGTGTCTGGTGTTCATGTCGAGGGTAAAAATTATGCGTGTGTAGTTGCTTGCGAAGAGAAAAATACGTATTTGACATATAGAATTAAAGGAAGATTGAGTGGCTGATTTGTTTTGGAAAGGAAACCATAGTTAGAGAGTTACATTTTGGGATGAAAATAATAGTTGCGTATTGCGTATTGTGTGCTGTGTATAATTTAGCCAGATCCTGAAGATCGTATATTCACCACCGCAATGGCCATGACCGCTCTGCTGACCATCTGGACAACGCAGGACCAGCACACAGGGAAGATGATCTGGGATGCAGGTAGGTTTGTTAAGTCTTAGCGCAGTGCTAAGTCTGATTAGTTCAGTATTCGGTCGCCCCTGTATTTCATCTTTAGACTTTCGACAGTAAATACAATTCAAGATTTATCATGCGGGACCATGCTTTGTTAGTTGGTCTGTTGTTTAACGACGCACTCAGCAATATTCCAGCTGTATGACGGCGGTCTGTAAATAATCGAGACTGGACCAGACAATCCAGTGATTGGCATCATGAGCTTCGATCTAGGCAATAAGGATACGGTGACATTCATCAACTATGTCGGCGAGCATGAGTTGGTTTGATCGCCATTGTGATCAATACCATCTTCCCGAGGCAAGAGAGTTAACTGACTTTGAAAGTCCAGTTTCCACCCTTGCCGAACTAGACTGGAATTCCTGGGCTCGATCGTAGCGCCACCAGTGGCTATTACGAGTTATGTCCTTTCTATGCTTCTCCTGTTGACCAATCAGATTCCACCTCTCGTATCACTTGCATTTGTTTCAAACAAAACGATGGCCCTCAGTCAAGACGATCTGATCGATAATCAAGATCTATATTGTGATAAAACGAGTCTGACATCGCGAAGTGCATCAAATCACGTGAGCACCTATATTTAAAACATGATAAGATTAAGAAAATATCTGTTGACAACGAGTTAACGGTGCACATGCTTTGCAAATCCTGCAGTCGACCGAAATCTGCATGACACTCTACGAACCGGGTTTCGATTTCGGTGCGCGATTTTGATTGGACTATGCTGATTAGTCCAGCCAAATGTAACTCCATAATACCAGCCTAGTTCGGCAAGGGTGGAAACTGGACTTTTATAGTCAGTTAACTCACTTGCCTTGGGAAGATGGATCAATACAGTAATAGCACAACATTTAACAAACTTTGTCGATCCCACAGTTATGACAAAGCATGGTTTGGGGACGTACATTTCCACAGGGTATGTGAATTATTTCAACACAGTGTCCCAAGTTAGACGATAACTACACTACCTGATAACCTTTCAAATTTACCCAATGTTACTGACCGCAGCATGCTGACATATAAAAGATTTAAAATGTCGGTCCATACTATTATCGCCTTCGTGTTTATCCTCCTAGATACGCCCCTGGACATCAAGAGGGCCGCCAATATGACGGCAACGTGGTTGTACTACAACATCAACGGCGAACAACCGCTGTTGGCATGGAACGCGTTTTTCTCTGGATCATTCAAAGGCTACACTGTCAGTAAACGTTTGGTATTTCTTCATCTGTATGAGGCCTCACCACTGTGTACACTGTACTAGACTTTAGTATCAGGACACCTTGCGAGTTGTTCTCGCAAAACAATCGTTTAGAATGGCAACTGTATCTCGTAGTTTGAAGGGAAGATATCCTAGACTTATTTAAATATTTCTTGTATCTACCTAACTGGTGTTATAATAGGTCTTCAACAACCCGTCCCTGCCGTAAAATGTTACCCTGTTTGTCGTAAGAGGCGACTAACGGGATCGGGTTGTAAAACAGTTCACATTAATAGGTGGAATCTATTTCAGAAGATAATTGAGACTGATTATTCTCTGGCATTGAATTGTTTGTTTAAAGTGATTGCACAATTCTACAAAAAATACACGTGCATTGACATTTCGTTCCAGACGGACACATTCCATTACCCGATGAACAGACTTGAATTATTCAATGGGACGAGAATAAATAAGACTGAGATTCGCAACGAGAAGTTTATTCAGGGAGTAGAAGGGTTCATACCCGAAAACGAATACAAACAAATGATGGAGAAACTTCACACACCCACCGTCTTCCCGGGCTACAACTACAACGGCGACTTCTTCCCCTTCTGGTCCTCTGAAGCCTACACCTACGCCATCGGGATGCTGGGATTGGGGAAATACATTGGGACTTTATAATAATGCCAAAATATTAATAAATTAGCAAATTGTCCGGATATTGTCTTCAGTTATTCATTTAACATTTATATTGATGAACTGAATATATCTTTAAATTTACTAATTGCCACATTCGATCTAACTCTGGTAATCTAACTGTCAATAAAATCGACAAAACCCTTGCCATATTCATAAGTAATCTCTGCCAAAAGTCGTTTGTACAACATTAGCATACGATCGTATTCGCATTGTACGACAAGCATTCACTTCTCAAACGGAATGCTCGGGTTCGAATCCCCACATGGGTGCAATGAGTGAAGATCTGTTTGGTGTCCTTGTCGTGATATTGCGGGAATATTGCTGACAGCGGTGTAAAACAAGACTCACTCACATTTACACCTGTATGACCTTGTTACGAACCCAGACCAAGGACCACTATGACAGGTACCATTGATCTAGCCATCTGTGTACTGATTGTAACAGGATATATAATGTTAGTTTCACCTTTTAATGGGTCCTGGCTTCGTATTTCTTCTCATGCAAAAAACGACCAAACCTTTTCATGCTCATAAGAAATTTCCGATATCAGAAGAGTGAATTGTTCAGTACCGACTACATCATGTGAACGTGTTTATCAATCGCTATCAAATAGTGATGATACCAGGTGTTCGCGAACATTTGAACGTATCCTGGCCCACCGGTGGCACCCGTTACAACACATGCAAAGGCAAGTCAATTGTTCGCCTGATTTGGTTGATTGGTTTGTTGTTTAACGCCGCACTCAGCAATATTCCAGCTATATGACGGCGGTCTGTAAATAATCGAGTCTGGACCAGACAATCCAGTGATTAATATCATGTGCATCGATCTACGCAATTGGGATCGATGACATGTATCAACCAAGTCAGCGAGCCTGACCACCCGATCCCGTTAGTCGCCTTTTACGGCAAGCATGGGTTGCTGAAGACCTATTCGATCCCGGAATCTTCACGGGTCTTTGGGATCATATGGTACAAGTCAAAATAGGGATTTGCATTGGACATCATGCGTCAGATTTGGAAATAGCTGTAATATGACCGTGACTTGTAAACAAACATCATGAACTAAACGGGATTCTTAATCTCTGGGTTGTGGTTAAAGTTGGGTGGACAGAATGTGTATTCCTTACTCCTTGGTTGTATTTATTAATAACATACAACCTCCTCTCACTATTAATTTCATTATCTAACAGATTATATTATTATCACGCCCGACAAGCAAGTTCGACAGCAGGTCATTATAATTTATGGACCGATGTTTCCCCTGTTTTGAAGGTGCCTGCATAGTTGATAAAGATAATTAAGGTCAATGAAATTAATCACAAATTAAAACAATATATAAGGTACCTTTTTATTGACTTTTTAGGTAAAACAAAATACAACGTAAAATCGTCACTGTATTGCTATTAGCGGCGTAATACCATATGCATTCACTCACTCAGTGATATTTTCGACATGTTCACAACCATTGATATAACATTGATGCGTAACTGATGTTTTCAGAATATCGTCGTCGTTTCCTCTACACACACAAATGGCATGCTTATTTTCACATATTATATAGTGTTTTGAGCTTCTGGTTTTATATTTTAAGCAGCAAACTGAGTTCATCCTCACAGTTTTCATTCATAGACGCGTTGATCATTTAATATCGCAGTGATTTGAGGGCGCTTTTCCTGGTTTCTTTAGTGAATCTATACACCGAATCTCTTTACATTTGATACAATGGCAAAATCACGAAAACTATTTCACTACACTGAAATAATTAAATAATAACTTTAGACAGACATGACATACATCCTGATAAAATTTACCTTTCAGAAGGATTGTCGGATTTGCACGATTTAGAAACAAACTTATTCAGCAATCATTTATAGAATTCATGAAGAAACAGTTATATACGTGCTGGCGTCCATGAAGATAAATACAGTAATCTACGTTTATAACGAACACTCTTATAACGAACTTATTTTTTATTCCAGGCCATTTGTTGTATATATGCTGTGTATATGCTTAGAACGAACTTCGGTTATTACGAACTAAAATTAGTGGTCCCTTTGAGTTCGTAATAACCGTAGTTTACTCAGTATGTGATATGTGAGAAATATTTCAGTGGTCTCCAGGTTATTGGTGATGCTATTGGTAACGACTGTACGGTAATAAAAATATTCGAGAATTTTTAATCTTATCACAAGATGAGGCAACAAGTGTGCATCTTACATTGGCATTACATCTAAACTACTTCCCGTATCGGGCGGTCGGGTAGCCTAGTGGTTAAAGCGTTCGCTCGTCACGCCGAAGACCCGGGTTCGATTCCCGACATGGGTATAATGTGTGAAGCCCATTTCTGGTGTCCCCCGCCGTGATATTGCTGGAATATTGCTAAAAGCGGCGTAAAACCATACTCACTTCCCGCATCTTTCAACGCGACGTCGATATAGAGACGGAGTCCAGCTGAACTAAGCCATGCCTGACGTCACATAAACGAGCTTTTGAAATGGTGGTCTGTACCGACTCCAAGTTTGGGGAAAGTTGACGACGCGCATAGAGAGCCGGGAATCACCTTACAGGAGAAGAAAACAAATATCTAAACTGGTTCAAGACTATGTGCGTCGTCAGCCTGCGATATTCTGATACGATGAAACAGGGCTTAACCTACTAAAATCTCAAGCTCGCTCTTGTCACTGAAAGTTAAAGTACACTCTCTTATTTGTTTAAGGATTAGTGTAGGTTTACCGAAATGCGAGCCCTTGTGATATTAACGGACGGGCCAGTGCAGATTAACTACGTTCATATAAACAGTTGGGGTTTGTTTTAAACTTCTCTTGGGTGATACATCAAATAATGCGAGCTGTTTTCTGATACCATTTTTGTTGCGGCCATTTATGATTGCCTTATGATCAATTTCTTTTCTTATAGATACTACTTTAGAAAATCATATCTTGAAAGTTTTTTGATAGAAAAGAATGAAAGTGTGCACGAAGTTACATGGCAGCGTTTTTGAATGCGAACATTTGTACACGCATGCGCTTGTGCATGCGAGCGTCGTTTATTCGTGTTTGTGTATGCGTTTATGCGTGTGAATGTGCGAGCATTTGTGCGTGCATACGATTGTGGCGTGTGTTTCTTCGTGCGCGCGTTTCTGCGTGAGTTTTTTTTTTCGTTTTTGTGTGCACGTGCGTTTCTGCGTGAGTTTGTTTTTTTCGTTTTTGTGTGCGCGTGCGTGTGTAAAAAATGCTTCAGTTCAGAGCTTGTTTTCTGTACAGTTAAACAATAGAACATCCAAATGGACCACCGTTTGTGTCAAACTGGATAATTCAATGTCTTCAAGTAACACATGAGCCCTATATTACTGATTGCACCTAAATTTTCCAATGACGCGATGTCTTCCTCTGCTTAGAAAACATTATCAGCTACTCATTCAATAATCTTGACATTAATTTCGACGAAATCGTGCGTGAAGTGATCGGGAGATCTCACAACTCACCGTTGTTTACAGCAACCACGGTCATTTTACCGCCATTGACGGCTTGAAACGAACTTTAGTTGCAAGAGAATGAATACATATAGCGTTTTCGCAATCGAAATACATGTAGCGCGGGAAGTCTCTACGGTGACTGGTCAAGTTGTTCCATACGAAAAAATATCTGGCAACAGCAATCACCTGTACCAAAGTGCTACGCTTATGGTTCTTATAATTTTCAAATTTCAAATTTATATATAGTAAAGCTGTACCTAAAAAAGCACGATATTGGAATATATTTTTCTGATAAAGTGATAATTTCAGATACAATTTCTTCGATTGCATTCCTTTGTAGTTCGTTATGTCCAGTCCGTATATGATGATGATGATGATAATGATTATTATTATTATTGTTATTATTATTATTATTATTATTATCCAAACACCCACCATCATCATCCATCAAAGATCCACACATCATCCATCAAAAATCCGTAAGCATTCATTTCAATCCATCATCATCATCATCATCATCATCATCATCTATATATATATATATATATATGTGTATATATATATATATATATATCATCTATATATATCATCTATATATATATATATATGTGTATATAAACTTGTCCTCGTCGCTATATGGCTGAGTGAGTGAGTGAGTGAGTGAGTGAGTTGGGTTTAACGCCGCTTTTAACGGTATTCCAGTTATATCACGGCGTGTCAGCTTAATGTGAGAGGAAAGCCCGAAGTGATGCAGGTCTCAGACGTTTACCACCTCGGTGAAAACCACGAACACGGGTATGGTGCTGACAAACCTACAAACATAATCGGGTCTAACCGGAATTCGAACCCACAATCATAGGTTTCTGGCGTGCCCAAGGGACGCAACTCTGCACAGCGAATCGCGACGCCTGAAACGACTGGGGAACCTGTCCCCCCCCTCTATGGCTGAAATAATGCCGATGCGACATTACGTTTTAACTCACTCACTTACGATAGCCATATGTACATGTAACTATTTCTTTAAGAATGCGAAATCGCGAGAACGCGATTGCGACACTAGACTAATTCCGTGACCTCGTAATCTCGCAATCTCACGTTTTTTCTGCCCATACTATACAGTCATCTTGAACACGGGCGCCTAAGTCGTCTGAGGCGTCGCAATTCGCTGTGTAGAGTTGCGTCCCTTGGGCATGCCAGAAACCTATGATTGTGCGTTTGTCCACTCTCCAGCTAACACGCCGTGATAAAACTGAAATATTAATACTGTTCAAAGCGGTGTTACGCCAAACACACTCACCTATTCAGCGCCATGCACAGGCTGTGAATTAGGGCACATTACTAGTATAAGCAAGCATAGCAAGTGGATGTGAAGGCCGCTATGAATTAATAAATAGAGTTTGATTGATTTTTATTAAAAAAACATGAGTGGCGGAAGACATTTGCATTACATCTTTAAGGTATCAGTGTACGAATAATACAAAAGGGAGCGATTCACATGCATCATGCGTGTTCAGTAGGGCCACGTGTGTGGAGTATTTCATCA